CCCACATACTTCGCTCACACCGTTACAAACATGTGCGTCCGCGGCGTCCGTACCTCCCGAATCGCGGCGAAACGTCGATCAGGGAAACGTCGGCAAGCGTGGCTGGGGAAAAGGTAACGTTACACGGCATCGGGTAACGGTGTGTGTGCGTGTCAGGAAAAAACGGGTTGTGGGGTTCTGTGTGGCATGTGGATTGCAGATGGGAGGGTCCGCGTATGCGTATTGGGAACGAGCGAGTTGGCTGGATGGATGGATGGATGATCGGATGTGTGGATGTGGATGGGGGTCGTAGACGAGGCTATGCAGGCTGCACGCCTTATGCATATGCGGCCCGGGGTACACGTGAGCAGCGTTGGGTTGAAAATAGAACTGGGTGCATGGTGGAGATTAAGGTGGTGGTGAAGATAAGGGGGTGAGAAGCGGAGATGAGCTATTGATGATTGTTTTCTTAGATGCGTTTTGTTGGATGGGAAGGGGGTCGTGCTAAATGATAGCATATGGGAGTGTGATAGGTTGTGGCGAGGCTGGGAGGGGTGGCGTGCAGTGCCTGGGCAGTTGGTTGGCCCTGATTATCGTTGGACGGGGGGAAGTTGACATGCATTTTTCAGGTACGGGTTTGGCTGATGGCATCGGATGTGCGAGCTTCCTTTTGCAGTTCGTGAAAGACTTGGCTTTTGGTTTGTTGATTACGCTATTCGACAGTACATGAGGGCGAAAAACGCGGGTTTGGCTATTGTTATCCACTTTACGATTTCGAAGATGCAGTGATATATTGAAGAGTCAAGATAGGAACACTTCCATATCATCAGTCAAGGTGGTCATCGGAACTGTGTATCCCCTCCAGTGATAGTATTCAAAAAAACTTTCACTCTTCAAGTGGAGTTTGGCCGGACACGCCGAGCACCGAGTCACAGTATACGTCACACTGCTATGACAGCTCGTCACAAGTGGAGCAACGAGAAAAAAATAATTTCGTCCGTTGCTGACCCCTAAATAATAACCCCCAAACCAGGCACCCAATGCCAAGTCCTCCCACGTGACATTATCTCCGGCACTCCTCGTCCACGGCCTGAATCTACATACAACAGTCGAAACAGACACGTGAATAGCTAGTTCTCCGCGTGATGCATACGAGCTTTTCTAGTTACATCAAGTAAAACGCCACGCAGCACATCGCTACCACACACAACTTCAGCTACACTTACCCAGTTGGGATATAAAGTCCCATAGCACGTGACGTCACTTCGCTGTAGCAGATGCTACCCGATTTTTCTTTCTGAGAAATCGTGGTTGAAATGTCAGACTGCTGGGAGGTGATATGTATTTATCTCCGAGAGGCTCTAGTCATGGTGATACTCTGTGTGAGATCACATGGAGATTTTCATGATGTATCATCTATGTCATTCTGCTGAATGGCTCCTTCCCGCTTTGCTAGAATATCTCTGTAGTATTTGCATTTGCTTGGGTAGATTAATCCAGTTTCACAGAAGTCGGGGCAGAGGGATCTGCAAATACTTTATATGTGAAGCTAAGGGCAGAAGTGCGGACTTGGCTTGCTGGATCGGTTGCAGATACACTTTGATACAACGACCGCTATTTGGTCTTTAGATGGAGGCGAGTTTTTTCTCTCGGGAGATTACAAAAAGCCACAGTGAAGAATGTAGCAATGCAGTGAACTATGACACGTCCTCAGGTGCTGACAAGAAAAAAAATGAAAACGTCACTTTTGCGTATCAAATATGCTCGCAGATGTTTAAAGTTACTGCAGAGAATGGCACCAGATAAGCCATGGGCTTCACTCGTCTTCAATTCCTAGAAGGAGTTCTTATATAAGAGTTAAATGAATCAATTGATCAATCAATCTACTTGTACATTTCTCGTTACCCTAAACTCTCAGTATGGTCTCGAATACCATGTACGACTAACCCATCAATCCTTTTTAGCAAAGGAGAAGATCTGACGGAACTGATCATATGGAACCGGCACTGCATCTGGCTGCGCGTTCCACTCAGCGTATTTTTCAACCATCTTTGCCTCGTCGCTGTTGAGCTGATCAGTAGGAATAGGAATCTCGATGACGCCGTGACCAGTAGTCAGACGTGCAAATAACTCCACGTGACCAGGGCGAGTTTTCTTCGTCCCGTTGACTTTCATAGAACCGACTGACTCCGACGAAGTTGGCGTGGTTCCGCCCTTCTCCACATCTGTAGACGATGCCGTTGCGGGGACGGGAGCGGTTTTCTCCAAACCCATCTTCAATAGATCTGGTTTCGGAGTTTTGGCCGCACGCTTGCGAGTACTAGGCTCAGCTGACGAGCGCGCGCCTTTCTTCTTTGATTTGCGGGCAGGTGTAGAGATGTTCTTGTGAGTGGTAGCCATATCCTTTTCCTCTATACCTCCCATAGTCTTGTCTTCAACTCCAGTCATACTTTCGTTGCTCGGGGAGGTTCCTGGTGCTACTTCTTTCTCCAAAAGCTTCAAGTCTTTTTTTTCATGCTCAGACATTGGCTCATCGGCCTTCGAAGTATCCAAGTTCGCTACAGCAGACTGTCTGGCACTTCGACGGGTCGTCATCTGGGGTAATGAATCTGGCCCATTTTCTCCATGAACTTGTGGCAAATCGTTTCCCTGACCACCTTGGCGGTTTTCACGTTGTTCTGACTTCCGCGGACGACCCACTATGCCGCCATATTTACCGCGTTTGCGCTCCCCTTCCTGAACAGCCGGCTCGCTCTTCCTCTTGATGGCTTTACGGGAATTAGGCGGTAGACGATCCAAGTTTGAAAGTACAGGATCAGCTTCAGCTGCAAGAAGACACACAGGAGTAGACGCTGTCAAGGAGGCCGCTTGGTTCTCGGCCTCATCTTTGGTAGCAAGGGGTGATGTGGTATTAAGGGCTGCAAGCGTAGCAGGCGCATTGCTCTCTGACACAAATGTTAGCGAAAATAGATGCACGAGTTTTTCCTTCACCTACTGTACTGTTCCTCTATCTTTTGGTCAGGAGATGGTGTCGAAGATGTCTGCACTTCAACGGAGACATCCTCCTCTCCAGTTGACATCTCCTCGGGCTTATCTGAAGATCCGTTCATCGTCACCAAATGATCTAGATTTTGTAAGTACGTTTATTTCATCATCAAACGTAGCTCTTGCGCCTGGTCAACCGAAACGTGTAGAGCGCGACAGTGGCTGCGTATGGGCGACAGAAGTGAGAATAAAAACTTACTCTGGTCAGACGACTTCAAACTAGGCCTGCCGCCCTTTCCTCTGGGTTTCTTGATTTTCTTCAGGCTGGAAAAATCGTCGTCTTTGGATAGATAGCGACCATTCGGTCCACGGACCTTGCCACCACCAGCATCTCGAACTGGGTCCGCCTTCGACTCATCATCGTTAAGCTTGGAATGACTTGGTGGACTGGTAGACGGGGTCTCTATCTTAACATCGTCAGCTGCATCGCGCGTCCGTCCGGTAGAGGTTGCTGCAGGCTGCGGCAGTTCAGGTTCGATCATTTCTTGGCTGTTAACGTCTGTAGTGGTGTCTGCGAATGTCATGTTAGTCGAAGAGCCAATTGTAATGGCATTCGTGCGACGAGGCATTGTCGGCGATGACCATGAGAAGTTATGAACGGGGCGCAGTGAAGTGAGCATGCCTGTATTATGAAAATCGACATACCCATGCACATAGAAATCTTCTGCGACAAATTATTGGACTGAACTGAGTCCTTCTCGCGTGCCTGCTGCTGAGCAGGAGTTGCTGGTAGATTGGACGGGAGAAGAACTGAGTTCTGTTGCGCTGGGCGAGTTTCCTCTTGCTTCCAAAGCTGGTGGCGGCTTGGCTTTACCGAAGCAAACGGCACCTGAAGTCCTGGGGCTGAAGAAGCTACAGTTACCCTGAGCCACTAGAAATAGTTTCAAATTCACTCCACTTACTATTGGATACGGATGAAGCGCCCAGCTGCTCAACTGCAGTCGAGGCCTTCTGCGTTTTTTCAATCGGATACAATACTCCCGGAGCGGCTTCACCGCGTGCGTTGTTCCGAACTGTGGCTGAAGACATCTCCTTGAAGTTTCTGTCAAAGAACGGCCACTTGTCTTGAGCCTTGTTAGTAAGTGATCGCACTCGGCGATATGCTCGATCCAACTGAGCAAAGCCTTGGGCTGTACGAATTGTCGCTGTAGGGTGGTCTTTTTCAACACCGTAAAGATAATTCTCCTGGATCCATGCCGCAAGGTCGATATCGTCCTGTGCCTCACTCTCCCGGAGGTACCGGTGAATGTCTGCCAAGGTCACAACATCAATGTAGCCGAAAACCTCTTCTGGGAGTAGTGTGTTAGGCGTGCTGTGAGCTGCGGGATTGTAGGGGGTGTTTGTGTTGGGCATCATAGTCGCGGACGCCAGTTCAAAGTGGATTACTTGAATTGGTACCGCGAGGCAGTAGTATTGGTAGACGTCGTGCAACAGTTTACTGTATACTTTTATAAATATGATGCCAGTATATGAATCTCAGTAGGTGAATTGGCGTATGTATTTGGGTTTGCTATTGTTGCGCAACCAAGAAGTGTGGGCGGTGAGGATTTTTGACCGGGCTGTGGCCGGAGTGGAACGGCAATCAAAATAACTGTACAGCACCGACTGTTGTAAATCCTTGAAGTCGAAGCCGTCTAGTAAGAAGATAAAGAGTATACCCCTTTGTAATATATGGAAGTTTTTGGTCGACAGAGGGTATTGATCGAAATGTGGGGGGTGAGAGGGCCGGTTAGGGTTAGCCCGTGCTCGTTCCAGAAATTCCGTAGCCTTCGAGGACACTTCAGAACGGCTATAACGTCATCATGTGACAACACACTTGTCACCAGCAATGCAGTGATTTTAGAGGATATTTATGGATGTTGGGCTTTGGATATGTTTTAGAAATCTACCGGGAATCAGAGCTGTAACTCACGCGGAGTCCGAGCGTTCCAATTGAGCTGTGGGGCGGTTGGAGACCCGGTCGTATTCCGCGACTGACCACTTGCATACAGACTGCCGGGTAAGCAGTGAGATAAACAATGTATTTATACATATTCATAGAGACTGTCGGCAAGGGCAAGGATTTGTTAGCCCTTGGCAGATGCTGTAGCAAGCTCTGGGCATTTTGCCAGTAGTAGCTCGCATGAAAGTGAAGACGTAGTTGACGATCTCGCAACGATCTCGCATTGCCAGCTCTTCTCAACCTTCCATGTTTAGCATTGGATTATGTGAGAACGTCGAGCTATAAAGTACGTAATCAATGCTATAAAAGTGACCTCACACCTGATCTTTTGCAAACTATTTTGGACTAGGCCTTTTCATTCCTACCCGCTCGATAAAGCTATCGCACAACGTATATCAAATATTTTCTAATTACATGAGCCTTCCAAGAAAAACAACATCAAGTCATATTGTCGACATGTAGGAAGGGTATGAAGACTACAGCAGTTATCTACGTTGAGTAAGGGGCAACATCAAAATTCTTCTCCTATCATAGCCCAAAGGAGAGCAAACAGCAAAGATGATAGCAATTCCACCGTCATCAATCTTCGGTACTGTCTAGCCCACAGATATCCCATATATCTTGTCCCCAGTTCATTGCGTCCTCAACCGCCATCCTTGCCTCAAACCTATCCGCATATGCCACGCTATGGCGATTCAACATCATCCTCGCTACATGTGCCATTGCCGGCCATGCTGATTCATCAACATGAATGCCTCGTGGCATCGCGTCAAGGATAGAGCTACGGATCTCACCATCGCTCACAGAGAGAGGATCCAGCTCATCAGGGTGAATCAGCAAGCGTTCAAACAAAACGCCGATTTGATACCAGAGATCGCGCACCAGGCGACGACAGCCGTTGGGTGTTACGTAACCATCCACTGCGATTATTTCACCACTGAGACACAGTAGATAGCCCATACCCCGACTCCTTCCATGGAAACCTTCGCTTCTTCTCGCGTTGCCAAACCTGGTGCTGTTTCGTTGGGTTGAAGCTTCGCCGACTGGAGGTGACGGCCTAGCTTCGTCTTTCTCGGCATGTGTAGACGAGGCAAAGAGCTGGTTTCTATCCAGAGGGCATGTATTGATGCCCTCCGCTAACCACGAGTGTATACATTGTTTTCCGAAGATATGTCCGCAGGGTCGGAGAAGGGTGGGGAGGTGCTTTTCGTCATATTCTTCTTTGCATATCGGGCAGTGGTTGTCTGCTGAGCACGGAGCGACAGATATCATAAGGTTTTTGACAAAGACATCGCGGGATGGTAAGCTGGGCCGGGAAGGCATGGTGGCGGAATTTATTGGTGTGAAGGTGAAGGTCGTGAACAACGGAATGTAGGAGTGACATAAGGTTGCTGGCAAATGTTATAGTCATTACTATACACGACGTGAGACAAATTTGAGTTCACAAATTTTCTTTTGTGAAACAGTGATGTTCAAGCCGGTTTGATGGTGTTATGCACGGTTGTCAAACAGTAGGTGTATGTTATGTGTGAAGCTGAATCATTTGTCGCAAGTAATTCCATACCATCACAGAATTTGGGGAGCGCCGAAAGCTACATATAATTGTATTCTATTTCTATAATATGAGACAGGCTATCCATCATCTATGATATTGGGCGATGTCAATTTGAATTAACTTCCGGTTCCAGCTGTCTAACCTTTTTAGCTTTGCTACGTTCTTCCCCCGGACCTGCGTGCCGCTTCCGAGTGGAACGACAATAGGGATTAAGGGTGTTGTAGAGTTCAGTGACTTCTTTGTTGAATGGAAGCGCTGTGTGCGTATGTTCACACTTTCTAATTTGGCTCTTCGGGTCATCTTGCAAGCACGGCAGAAGACTTCGTGTGTTTTGCGGTACACGAACCGGTATAGGTACATTGTGTTTCTGGAGCTGCTCAGAAGTCATGGACTGCCATAGAATCTTTGTGCATCGCACACGGCCATTGCTTGTTGTCGGAGAGCCTGATACAGGGCTGGGCTTTATGTCACGTCTTCCCCATTGTTCATGTAGTTCAATCAAATCATCTATGATCTCTAGGCAATCGCTCTTAACCACCCAAGCACCAAGCTTGTTCGAAGACTGAATCTTAAAATGGGTAATAGGAGCAGCAATCGCAGCTGGCCCTTGCTTGCGAACTATGTCCCATGTGTCTTTGCGAAACCACTGCGCAATGTAAGACATCGAAACATCAGAGTACTCTTTGCCCCCTGCCTCTTCCGCTGTTTTTGGATCTGCCCATATTTTGCGCATCAGTAGAAATGTTCCAGGCTTAGATCTATCTTGTGGATTGATTACGCAACCAAACATGAAATGCTCCCAGCCATACCCCCACTCGGTATCTGGGCAATCAGCTCGGATATATGGTTCGTCAAGGTTGCCTCGCCGCAGCACACCGATTGCATGGACTATCTCATGTACAATCGTAGTGGCAAAAAGGAAGTCGTGACGAAATTGCGCACATAGAGACGCTGCGGCATACTCCCCGCTGGTATAATAGCTTTTGAAGTATTCCGCCAACTCAATCTTGCAAGAATACTTTCGCTGGAACAGGGAATAACATTCTGTGCTGTGAGCTAATGGTTCATCTTCTCTTAGAGTGCGCGCATACACTCGCTTTACAGGTGACACAAAATGAAATGAAACACTGTGACTGAGACATTCCAACGCATCGCGCACACCGGCTAGATATAGTCGATACTTTTCTCCGGACGCACTGGCTAGAGGGTTGGAAAGATAAGATTTATATGCGCCATTGATGACGCCTTTAAGTTCGCGGCCGTACAATAAGGGTATGAAGAAGGATAAAAGTGTATCGTGGGTAAGAAAATGCGACGCCAGCTGTAGCATCTGCTTCATCGGCTCTACACTGTCCAACTTGGAAAACACAGAATGGATAGGGTTGTCTAGGTCTCCTGGGGAAACGGTAGCATCCTCTAAGAGTTTGAAGCGGTTACTCTTGTTACATGCTGTAATGAGTCCATTGATTCCTGAATCAGCTTTCGGAGCCTTACGCTTTGGTCGTGGTGTCGCACTCATCGTTACTTTAGGATATGGAATTGAGATTTGTGCATCTGCACTTGGAGGTTTTCAGCTAGTATACATGATAGAAATAAGGCCATTGTTGGCTTTTGACAGTAGCATAGCGAGACAAAGCTCGAAGATGGGAAAGACGATGCTAGTAGTGAAAGACAGTGTAGAGAATGCAACAAAGTGCATGTCATACAATGCACATGTGAGACTCAGTTGATCTCCATGATACTACCTGGATCAAATTAGCACCCCAATTTATTCTTACTGCCATATGACTGAATACAGCCTAGGCAGAGCAGGCCGTGTTCCCAAAGCTACCAACCGAACCCTAGTCAAATCCCATCACGTGACAGCGCGCAACTAGTGCGTCTCTACAGCCCCACAGTTGTGTTTGCTGAGCGTTTGCCCGAATCACTAGCGTATGAACTCACGCTCACTTTCATGGCAGTCCCAATACGAAAGGATACCTTTCGACAACCTCTTTTTCTTGTCTTCTAACGTCCATCCCTCTGCCAAACTCGTCAACATCAAGTACATCACCAGTCGATGGCTGCTTCTATGGCTATCGACCCGATGCAGTCAAGCATGAAGACAGAATATGGAAAAGAGCAAGGCATTGGTGAGACTCTACCTATCGAGCTTCACAATGACACGCCTGTTCTCTCCATAACATTCAGTGCTTTTACTAATAGCACTTTGCTAGACATGAAACGAGCCAGTATCAAGCACGAAAGGACGCATTCACCCTCACTCAGTCTAGCTTCGTTGGAGGACACACTCATAGAAGAGACTCCAGGCTTCGAATCCAAGGGCTTTTTCCAGTCGACCCCAGGCGAAAGTGATAAGCAAGACCTTACCAATCTCGACCGACACATTCGACACATCATCCAACTGAAAGATCCTGCTACCCTCGAAGCTGGTGCAGATCTAGCGATACAGACACTAAAAAGGTTTGAGCAAATTTTTGTCCGTCACGATACCTCTGGGCTTGACAGGGAGGTAGCTTCCTGGGTAGAGGCTATAGCAGCACTAGTCCCGCAAGCTCAGCGAAAGCGCACTGTTGTGGGTGTAGTAGGCAATACAGGTGCCGGAAAGAGCAGTGTGATCAACGCGATGCTCGATGAAGAGCGCCTTGTCCCTACTAACTGCATGCGGGCTTGCACCGCTGTTGTTACTGAGATATCCTGGAATAACAGTGATGAAGCCTCTTCCAAGTATCGTGCGGAGATAGAGTTCATCAGTCCCGAAGATTGGGAAAAGGAGCTCTCAGTGCTTATGCAAGAATTTTCGTCTGAGAGTGGCAAACTATCTAGGGAAGCCCAGGATCCAAATTCCGATGCTGGTATTGCATGGGCAAAGTTTCACGCTGTGTATCCATCTGTGCCAAAGGACGCGTTGCACAAGAGCACTATACCTACTCTCATGTCGAAGAACGCTGTTAGGAGCGTTCTTGGAACCACCAAACAGATACACATGAGCCATCCGGGCAGGTTCTATGTCGAGCTCCAGAAGTATGTCGACAGTAAAGAAAAGGTGTCTAGGAAGGACAAAACCAAAAATAAGCCGCAAAACTCGCCACCTAAGATGGAATACTGGCCATTGATCAAGGTCGTCAAGATATACACCAAGAGCCCAGCGCTATCAACGGGTGCTGTCGTTGTGGATCTGCCAGGTGTTCAAGACAGCAATGCTGCCAGAGCTGCTGTAGCTCAGAGTTACATGCAGCAATGCACAGGTCTGTGGATTGTTGCTCCGATCAATCGCGCTGTAGACGACAAAACTGCCAAGACTCTTCTTGGAGACTCCTTCAAGCGCCAGTTAAAGTACGACGGTGGCTTCTCGAGCGTAACGTTTATTTGCTCAAAAACAGACGATATTTCCATCACTGAGGTGATTGAAAGTCTTGGCTTGGATGGAGAAGTCGCAGAGTTCGAACAGCAAAGCAGCAGGTGCGGCGAACAGATCGAGCAAGCTGAAGGCAAGATCCAAGATCTAAGAGAGTCGCAAAAAGTCTACAAACTTGTTATGAAAGGTGCAACCAAGGATATTGAGAATTGGGAGATACTTCAAGACCGGCTGGAAGACGGACAGCTGGTGTACGCACCTGTCGCTGAACCTAAAAAACGTAAGAAGGCTGGTTCAAACAAACAACCGTTGAAGAAACAAGCGTTTTTCCAGAACTCCGAACATGGAATTTCCAGATCTAGTGATGGAATTCCCAGCTCCGATGATGAAGTTCAGATCCAGGCTGAGCAAGTCGTACTGTCTGAGTTGGACATCAAAAACAAGCTCAAGGAACTGAGGGATACCAAGAAGAATGCTCGACGGGAATCCATTGAGATGCAACGTGCGATTGATGATTTGATATCTCAAGTCAGAACGCTGCAGAAGGAACAGGGCAGAATTCGAGCGGAAGTGAGCCGAATCTGCATTGCGGAACGTAATCTCTACTCCAAGTCTGCCATTCAGCAAGATTTTGCTGCAGGAATCAAAGAGATTGATCAGGAGAACGCTGCTGAAGCAGATGAGGATAGCTTTGACCCAGATGAAGATATACGCGATTACGACCAAGTCGCGAAGTCCCTACCCGTTTTCTGTGTCAGCAGCAGAGCATATCAAAAGATCTGTGGACGTATGCAGAAGGACGATAATATACACGGTTTCACAACTAGAGAAGAGACTGAAATCCCGCAGCTCCAGACTCATTGCCAGAAGCTCACCGAAGCTGGCCGAATTCAGACGAGCCGGACCTTCCTGACGGGTTTCTGTCAACTCTTAATCAGCTTCAGGTTATGGACATCCGACAACACCCTCCACTTGCCGTTGAATGAGAAACAAAAACAGCGCCATCTCCAATTTCTCGAGCGAAAGATCGAAGAACTGAAAACGGGCGTTGGTGACATTGTGCACGCCTGTATGGAGGAAGTGCGGTCTGAGGTGAGGCTTCAAATCTCCTCCAGGTTCCCAGAACTCATCAACGCTGCCATTGAGGTTGCACCTAAAACAGCTCTCGCCTGGGGTCAGAAGGCCCAAGGAGGTCTAATTTGGGCCTCGTATAAAGCCGTGGTTCGCCGGGATGGTGTCTTCAAATCTCCAACAGCGGGAGACCGGGACTTCAATTTGGATCTTGTCGAACCTAACGTGTCCGTGCACCTCATGCACGGATTCATCTCGTGCACGCCGAACACCAAACGCGCGTCTCAGCGTCATAA